CTTTCCCTTCCCCTTATTTTCCTTCCCTTTTCTTTATCCACCTCCATCCTGATACTCTCTACTATTTCTTCTCTGAGTCTCTCTCTTCTCTGTTTTTACCAGATACAATACAGAATTAAACCTTATCCTTAGTATTTATTATACTTTTCAGTAAAATAATGAACATAGGTTTTAAAGAAAGAAAATCAGGACTCAAATCCAGTTCTAATAATCAGCTATGTAACTTGGGTAAATTAATTAAACTAAATACTTCAGTTTGCTCAAATGGAAAACAGGGATAATAACAGCATCTTCACATGGTTATAGTAAGTATTTAAATTTGTAAATTATCTAGCCTAAAACCTGACACACAACAGGTGTTCCATAAAGTTAATGCTTTTCTCAATTTCTCTAGGAAAAAATTATCTAATCATTGATTATGTCTTCCACTGTAGCTCTTAACAGAAAAGGAGACCCCCCCCTTCCTTGTACATATTTCCACTTTTTTTATGAGTACAGATGAATCCATCCATTACAGATATGGACAATGTCTCTAACTACAGAATTTTACACTGCACTGATATAAACACCCCTTACTCTGGGCCGTCTCCTTGATTTTAAAAATAAGTTGGAAGAGAAAAATATAAATAAACCCTGGAAACACAAAGTAATTAGTGATAATTATAAGCTATGCATTTAAGAGGCACTTAAACATTACATATAAAACAATATATGAAACATATAACACTATACTTTTTAAATTGGCTTGAAACTGCTTCAGTAGTTTGAGCCATTGTGAGAAAATAATGAACTACTCCAAAGGAACAGTTCCCACGTTAAGGAGTCAATACAGTATTAGGCCAATTGCCAGTTGCCTCTTCCAACTCATTCTAACTCAGTTTAACCTCTTATCTAGAGCCTGACTCTATTCTCAAGTGAATTCCACACTGGCATCCAGTAGGTGTTTGTAAAAATAAAACTACTTTAGGGAAGAGGCATTAGGAATCAGAAGAGACTACCCAAATTTTCCTGCACCCAGCTCAGACAGCCATCAGACAAAAGAATCAAAAGGAAAGCTACGTGTCATCACTGTGTGACACCTGAAGCTACAGCCAAGAAGACAGTGTGCAGAGGCTGCTGCAGCTCAGTGCAAGCTCTTCAACTGCAAACCCCAAACCACAGCACAGGCAACGCCGGGTGAACCAGAACTAAGTCGGTGTTGGGGGAGGGGGTCAGGAAGCCCTACAGAAAACAGTGTATCACATGAGAATGACTACAAATGAAAGAAAGGGATTAGGAGTTACTGGGTAGGGGAAAAGCCATTATTCTATTCAAGTACACGTTCAATACCAGCAAGGGCTAAAAAGATTAAGTAGACAATATTTCTTTAGGGAAACTAAAACAAAGACAGTATTAAATTAAAAACTGGGGCTTCCCTGGTGGCACAGTGGTGAAGAATCCTCCTGCCAATTCAGGGGACACGGGCTCGAGCCCTGGTCCGGGAAGATCCCACGTGCCACGGAGCAACTAAGCCTGTGCGCCACAACTACTGAGCCTGCGCTCCAGAGCCCGCGAGCCATAACTACTGAGCCTGTGAGCCACAACTGCTGAAGCCCACACACCTAGAGCCGTGCTCCACAACAAGAGAAGCCACCGCAATGAGAAGCCCGCGCACTGCAACGAAGAGTAAGCCCCACTCGCCACAACTAGAGAAAGCCCATGCACAGCAATGAAGACCCAACGCAGCCAAAAAAATTATTTTTTTTAATTAAAAAAATTTAAAAATAAAAACTGAAAATCCAAGGAATAAAATGCTTTAAGGTCATTAAAAAACCAACTGCAATAGCAAGCCCTAAGGCAGTAACTGGCAAATGGGAGTGGCAATAAAGTATAATAATTTAAAAAGAACATTCGAGAACCAGAAGTACTGGTATGGTTTGGGTTTTTATTGAAGAATAGCACGTTTTCCTTGAGTTCATAAAAGGATTTGCCATGGCATGCAGTTTTTAAAACACTTCAAAGTTCTCAGTCTAGAGCAACAAAAGTGGTAGGCAGTTTCTAAGCCTAAATCCCAGGAATGCTCAGTTTACTATCACTGCCCATCTCTGAAGAATATGAGAGCAGCCACAGGAAAACCCAATAACTGATCTGCAGCAGGCTTTTTCTGGGGGTAGGCTAGAGTGACCATACTTACTGGAGTCCTCCCACTGGAATAAATGTAGCTTCCACGCAGAATAATACAAAAATCCCAGTACCAGAAAAAGGCAGAGGGCTAGCAGCAGATTGCGTACAAATACCAAGAGTCCCATCTTCACATGATTTACGATTTCCTACATGACCTAAAAAAAAAAAACCAAAAAACAATTTAGGTCTTAACTGATAAAGCAATCATCTTATTGATATACTCTACCTTAAAATAAGTATTTATAGGAGAATTTCCAAATGAAGAACCACCTAGAATTACCACTGAGTTGATGACCTGGCATCCTCCAACCTGCTCAAGCCCGGCTCAAAGAACAGCTTCACCATCATCAGTCAGCATCCAAGCCAGAAATCAGCAGGCATCCTTGTGTCCCTCCTCTCGTTCATTCCTGACACCCAATCAATGACCAAACTCTGGCAAGTCTAACCTCCCAAATAAATCTCAAATCACACCCCCTTCCCACCATCACTACCCTAGCCCATGCCACCACTGTATTCCCACAAGTTTCCACACCTCCAAATTTGCACTCTCCCAAATCCATCTTCCACACAGCACACGAATGGTCTGTTAATAACACAGAGTCTAACATTACCTCCCTGCTTAAACCCCTTTGTATTAGTACTCTACTGCTGCTCTAACAAATGATCACAAACTCAGCAGCCTGAAACCACTCAAATTTATTATCTCAGAGCTCTGAAGGCCAAAATTCCAGCTACAGTGTGGCTCAGCAGGGTCCTCTGCATAAGGTGTCACAAGGCCAAAAGCAGGGGCTGAGCAGGGCTGCATTCCTTTCTGGAGACTCTGGAGATGAACATACTTCCAAGTTCCTTCAGGCTGTAGGCTGAATTCAGTTTCTTGCAGCTGCAGGGCCCAAGTCCCTGTCTCCTTGCTGGTTATCAGACAGTGTTTGCTCCTGTGTTCCTCCTCCTGTTTTCCATGTGGTACATTTCAGTAGTGGTGGGTTAAGTCCCTCTTACTCTGATCTCACCAACTTCCCCTTCTACCACATCTTGCTTCTGTTTCCAACCCGAAAAACTTCCTTGCTTTTCAGGTTCATGCAATTAGATTGGGCCCACTTGAATAATCCAGGATAACCTCCCTATTTTAAGGTCTGTAGCCTTAATTTCACGTGCAAAGTCCCTTTTGCCATGTAAAATAACACGTTTACAGATTCTAAGGATTAGCGTGTGGACGTCTTTGGTTGTTGTTTTTTCTTTTTTTTTTTTTTCTGGCCACGCCGTGCAGCATGCAGGATCTTAGCTCCCTGACCAGGGATCGAACCCACGCTCCCTACAGTGGAAGCACGCAGTCCTAACCACTGGACCGCCAGGGAATTCCCACATGTGGACATCTTTGAGGGACCATTCTGCCTAACAGACCTTTCATTAAATTCTCAATTCCTTTAAAATAAAGTAATTGCCCCTTAGAGTCTAGTAGCTTCTCATTGCACCCCTATTTACTCTCCAACCATCTCCTGCTTCTCCCAACCTCATTTGTATCCTATGCTCTAGCCCCTCTTCTTTCTAGTCACTGAACATTTCTTGTTGTTTCTCTCCGCAAGGTCTGTCTGGAATACATTCTCCACCACCTATTTCACCTGCTGCACGTTCTTTGATACTCACCTTAAATGTAGCATCAGCCAAGAAGACTTCCTAGGAGCACCCTTCCCAAACCCCACTCAGCTATCTTAGTCATGAAATAATCTATGAGAAATACTATAAATATCATAACCTATGTATAAATATTATAAATGAAGTGATAAAGAGTTAGCACTTGCAGACTATATAATTGTCCACCTAGAAAAGCCAAGACAATCAACCAGAAAATCATTAGAACCAATAAAAAATTCAATAAATTAGGTGATTATATGATTTACTTACAAAAATCAACAGCTTCTTAAAAACTATACCAGTGATAACCAGTTAAAAAATGTAAGGGGAAAAAATTCCACTCATGATGGCAACAAAATCTATAAAATACCTAAAACTAAACTTAGGAAGAAATGAACAAGATTTTCACCAAAGGACATAAAAGATCCAAATAAATAAACAGACATAACAGGTCCCGAAGTAAGAAGATTCAATATTGGAAACATGTCAGTTCTCCTGAAATGTCAGTTCTCTGTAAATTTAGTCAAAACCCATGATTTTTTAAAACTTAGATCTAATGTTAATCTGAAGAGTTCATGCCCAAGAAGAATGAAGAAATTTTTTTAATGAACAATAATGAGGGCTTCCCTGGTGGCGCAGTGGTTAAGAATCCACCTGCCAATACAGGGAACATGGGTTCGAGCCCTGGGCCGGGAAGATCCCACATGCTGTGGAGCAACTAAGCCTGTGTGCCACCGCAACTACTGAGCCTGTGCTCTAGAGCCCACGAGCCACAACTACTGAGCTCGTGTGCCACAACTGCTGAAGCGCGTGCACCTAAAGCCCATGCTTCGCAACAAGAGAAGCCACCGCAATGAGAAGCCCGCATACCTCAATGAAGAGTAGTCTCCGCTCACTGCAGCTAGAGAAAGCCCGCGTGCAGCAACAAAGACCCAACGCAGCCAAAAATAAATAAATAAGTTATTGTAAAAAAGAAAAATAATGAAATGAGGATTTGCCTTACTATATTAAAACCAACTCAAAGCTATAATTATTAAGCTGGATGGGTACTGGCACAGGAAAAGACAAACAGATCAATGGAACAGAACAGAGTCCAGAAATGAGCTCTCAATAAACAGATATGGATATATACACATACACACATACAGAAATGACTTTATCCATATATTTGAATTTACAATAAGCATATAAGTTTGTTTACAAACATATGACAGGGGCTTCCCTGGTGGCGCAGTGGTTGAGAGTCCGCCTGCCGATGCGGGGGACACGGGTTCGTGCCCCAGTTCGGGAAGATCCCACATGCCGCGGAGTGGCTGGGCCTGTGAGCCATGGCCGCTGAGCCTGTGCGTCCGGAGCCTGTGCTCCGCAACGGGAGAGGTCACAACAGTGAGAGGCCCGTGTACCACAAAAAAAAAAAACATATGACAGGATACATAGCTAACTGTTGATGTGGTTACCTCTAAGAAATAGGATAGGACAATGAAAAGTACTTTTCCCTTCATACACTTTGAATTAAATTTGTTATAAGTCACAAGTGCTGCCTCTATACTTCTGAATATTTAAAAAATCAACCATAAACGAATGGGAACTAATCAAACTTATAAGCTTTTGCACAGCAAAGGAAACCATAAACAAAATGAAAAGACAACCTACAGACTGGGAGAAAATATCTGCAAACAATGTGACTGACAAGGGCTTAATTTCCAAAATAAACAAACAGCTCATCAACTCAATAACAAACAAACAAACAAACAACTCAATCAAAAAATGGGCAGAAGACCTAAATAGACATTTCTCCAAAGAAGACATACAGATGACCAATAGGCACATGAAAAGTTGATCAACATCGCTAACTATTAGAGAAATGCAAATCAAAATTTCAGTGAGGTACCACTTCACACCGGTCAGAATGGTCTACAAATAACAAATGCTGGAGAGGGTGTGGAGAAAAGGGAACCCTCCTACACTGCTGGTGGGAAATGTAAGATGGTGTAGCCACTATGGAAAACAGTATGGAGGTTCCTCAAAAAACTAAAAACAGAGTTGCCATATGATCTAGCAATCCCACTCCTGGGCATATATCTGGAGAAAACTCTAATTCGAAAAGATAAATGCACCCCAATGCTCACAGCAGCACTATTTACAATGGCCAAGACATGGAAGCAACCTAAATGTCCATTGACAGATGAATGGATAAAGGAGATGTGGTGTATATATACACAATGGAATATTACTCAGCCATAAAAAGAATGCAATAATGCCATTTGCAGCAAGGTGGATGGACCTAGAGATTATCATACTACATGAAGAAAGAAAAAGACAAAACCATGATATCACTTGTATGTGGAATCTAAAATATGACACAAATGAACTTATTTGCAAAACAGAAACAGGCTTGGAATATATACTTATGGTTATCAAAGGGGAAAGGGGGTGGGGGAGGGACAAATTAGGAGTTTGGGATTAGCAGATACAAACTACTACATATAAAATAGATAAACAACAAGGTCCCGGGCTTCCTTGGTGGCGCAGTGGTTAAGAAACCGCCTGCCAATGCAGGGGACACAGGTTCGAGCCCTGGTCCGGGAAGATCCCACATGCCACGGAGCAACTAAGCCCGTGCGCCACAACTACTAAGCCTGCACTCTAGAGCCCACGAGCCACAACTACTGAAGCCCATGTGCCTTGAGCCCGAGCTCCACAACAAGAGAAGCCACCACAATGAGAAGCCCGCGCACCGCAACGAAGAGTAGCCCCCGCTCACCGCAACTAGAGAAAACCCGCACACAGCAACAAAGACCCAGTGCAGGAAAAAAAAATAAATGAAATAAATAAATTTACTTTGTAAAAAAAAGGCCCCACTGTATAGCACAGGGAACTGTATTCAATATCCTAATAAACCATAATGGAAAAGAATATGAAAAGGAATATATAAGCATATATTGGGTTGGCCAAAAAGTTATAGGAAACCGAAACGAACTTTTTGGCCAACCCAGTATATAATACATATATATCTGAATCACTTTGCTGTACACCAGAAACTAAGAAATTATCAATCAACTATACTTCGATTTAAAAAAATCAAATAACACGTTGTAGAAATGTAAATTGGTAGAGACTCTTTTAGGAGGAATTTGGAAGTACAGGTATCCCCTGCTTTTTGAAAGCTCGCTTTATGCCACTTCGCTTCTATGAAAGACCTAAGTGAAACACACCCAAAGAAGATTTTCGCTTTTATCAAAAGAGATGAAAATAGCTTTCAGCATGTTTTGCATCCAGCGGTTATAGAGGCAGCGGGCACCCAGAGCAGCGAGAGTAGCACCACCAACCTCCTTTCCCAGGAAGTACACTCGGCATTTCTGCATCAAGCCACCATAGATAGCTTTGAATTCTATCTGTGAGCATCTATGCTTTATCTGGATTTATTTTGTGCATCAGTTAGCAAGATGTGTCCTAAGGTATCAGAATAGCCTAAGAGAACTTGTAAGGGTGTTAT